TTTAACATCCCCTTCTTTAGCCACCCTTTTTCTGTTGAAAATCATGAAAGTCTTTTTGGAAAAATTTATTACAGGACATCTTTTCAAAAGAAACAGGCTATAGCAATATATGTTTACTGCAGATTTTATTTATAAAACCGGGTTCTACCCTATAACCTTTGAATAGATCAACCTAAACCACGTGTCTTGAATTTAAATCACAATAACATTAGTAGGTGTGACACTGAACAGTGATTAAGTCAGCCCTTTTATATAGGGGTCCTCAAATATAGCGAGAGTCCAATCGAAAATGGCGGACACATTCTTTTGACGAATTGTGTTCAGCTTTAAGGTTAACAGGGAATACATTTAGATATCTTAAACAAACTTTATTTTCTATTTTATTTTATTTATTTTTATTGCTTTTTATTTTTTTTTATAACGTTTTATACTACTTTTTAAACAACCATCGGAGTTCGTTATATAGATAGCAAGTTTTCTTTCAATATCACTCATTTCAGTCGACAAATATTTAATGATAAGCAATAAGTCATTCAAAATTGTTTGGTATGTGTTTGCATATATAAATATGGAAAAAAGCATCAAAATAAAGCATTGAAGAGGTCATTCAGGTGATTCAATTAGATGCATGTTTTATTCAATTAAAAAAGTGATAATAAAATGAGCAGTTGTTCTGAAAGCAAAAGAAATTCGAAATACCGTAAATGGTTATAAATACAATGTACATTTGAAAATATTATGCAATATAATATTTACCTTAATTAATTCTTATTTTATATTTAAAGTGATGAAAAAAAACATGGTCCAAAGATCTTTCAAACAAAGATAACATTAATGGAGTTGACATGATTCAGATCTGATATTGACAATAAGCTTGGGAAGAACAGCCCAGCACACTTAGCGAAAGTGAGCTTTTGTTTCTATTTGTTGAGTCCTTGAGTAGCCGCGGTGGTCGCTTGTGCATATGGAAGGTATTGTATAACTTCACGACGTTCTAATTGAATTTTCTAAACATTTGTTGAGGGACTATATAAAAGGATTAGAAGGCAGTAGAAGTATGTTATACCAAAGGACACTTTGGCAGTGCCTAGAACACACTTTACAGCTGAGCAGTTCTGTCGAGCAACTTCCTCTAGTTCTGTGTGGCATTGTAAAAGAATTCTCTGAAGAATTTCTTCAAATTGCGATTCACTGCTACACAGCGGCATTGGAATAAAAATAATAATTCTGCGTGAAGATTGATGGCGTTGTCTTTAAAGTTTCTTTACTGTAATCCCTCATTTTCCAAATTATGTAATCATTTGTCGATTTTCTTAGGTGTTTGTTTGATAGACAAAATGGTCCCGCGTGAAATATAAGAAATAAAAGCCAAATTGTTCTCCATAAATTGGTCAGACGTATGTACATAAAAATCTTGAGTTTACAATAGGAACCCACGGCGGAAACCACAGTAGGTGTCAGCGGAAGGAGGGGCCTGAGGGGTGACTGCCGTGCTGTTCGTGGCTCCTGTGGTGGATTGTGGAATGGCATCTGCATCTGTGCTTGGTGCCATGTCCACAGATTCCTTGTTGGTTTTCATTTCTAAACGAAAAAATACGAGTTTTTGTATGTTCCGGAGGCGCAGAAATTACATATATGGAAACATTTGAAAAATAGACCCAGACATATACAACTTTACGTTTTAGGGGCAGTTATTTGAAAGTAATTGATTATAAAGATTAAGCATAAATGTTATAAAGTATAAACGTGTTCACCTTCTTAGTTTAAAGAAATTAAGTAAAAGTAAAAAAAAAAAATCTATTTACCAAAAAGAGAAATGTTTCAAGAGATTGCGCTCTATATTAAACGGAGTTTTAAAAAATGATACCTTGAATTTTCGATTTCACCCATTTATAAGTCCACTGGGCAGAGAGAAAAATTAGGTGCATTTTAACAATCATCTTGTTAAATCTTCACTTTAGTTCGTCAACACAGCTCATTGACAACGATTGTAACACGTGATCTCTCTTATGACGTCATAATGTATGACACAACAATTCTTTTTACTTTTTCTTTCTTTTTCTCTCTCTCTCTTTTAATACACAATTTACATGTAAGTTTTTCGTGATAAAGAGACAAAGAAGAATTTCAAATTTTGAAGAAAAAAATCAAAATTTGACGCATTTTGGCCATTAAAATCTTTGTTGAATGCAAGGAAAGGTCCACTAACTAGTGTCAAATGGTTTATTAATGCCAACTCTTTTTATATGCATGATATGGGAGTTGACGATGTTTTCCTTTGAAGTCAGGTATCAGATCTTAAAATATTGTAAGATCTCCGGAAATGGCCAAGCTTAAGATCACCCCTACTAATGTGTTCGGAACCTTTTATGTTTCGGTATTCTGCAAATTATAAAACCCGATGAGTTCAGAGTAGCTCTGGCAGTGGCTCTGGCGAGAGTTAGCGAGACTTCAGAGAGATAGGGTAAATTATTCACGGAAATGTAGCTAGGAAGTGACTAGCACGTGGAGGCATGGTAAACAGAAAAGTTATGTTGCGTTTCAGTTTTCACCACCCTAGAATCAGCTGATAATGTCTGTTGAAATTTACTTCAGTCAATCGATCTCTTTTACATTCATTCAGACTTGAATAAGTATTCTCTTTACTACAATTTTCTGCAGTCATGAATTCAAATTTCTTTTTGGACGAATATTTTTTCATGGGAACCCGGACTATATTTTTTTGGCGTCAGATTAGCAAATGAGGCACCGGCACGATTTTAACTGACCAATCAGCTGAATGAGTACTAGTATTGCATTATGGGTTACTACGAATACTACAGGAATTTTACGTTTGAGAAAAAGAAAAATCTTATGGTAAATGAAAAGCATTTTTAAAAATATTATTTTCATGCTTATAATAACAAACAATTCATTTGTTAAATAAACGTCGGAAGTTAAGTTTCTGAAGTCATACTGCAAAAGTAATTTGCGTCTGTATTAATTCCTTCGTTGTACTTTCGGTGAATACAATTGCCAGGTGAATTCCCTGGCCGAACACGTGATCAAGAACGTAAAAAAGTTTTGTCCATTTAAATGCATAAGAGATGCTTCTCGTTTTCCTTACCCTTGAAGCGCTTGTGTTCTGAACTAGACACAAACTACATTTTATTAAACTTTTTTTCCATTTAACAACAAATTAAAAACGCCTGTAACATCTTTCATAGTTTTTTATCTTTGTATTTTGTTCATTTCTTTTATATTGCAGCCCATTAACATGATCATAGATTGAACTGAACTACGTGTTCGAAGTAAAATGTAAACATGTATTTGGCGTAAACGTTGCTATTCATTCAACGATTGGTCAGTTGCTCGTGGTGAGATCCCCTGTGCGAATTTATAACAATAGCCATATAAGGCAAACAAAGGTTTGTCAGTGTAGATGATATTTGCACATTTTTTTACCAGCGAATCGGTCACTAGTGAGCTCTAATTTTCGCCGAAAAGTATAAGATATATTGTTATTTTAACACCCGGGCCTCCTTTAGTCACCCTTTTTCTGTTGAAAATCATGAAAGTCTTTCAGAAAGGTCTGGAATAATTTATTACAGGACATCTTTTCAAAAGAAACAGGCTATAGCAATATCATGTTTACTGCCGATTTTATTTATAAAACCGGTTCTACCCTATAACCTTTGAATAGATCAACCTAAACCACGTGTCTTGAATTTAAATCACAATAACATTAGTAGGTGTGAAGATGGGGACGCTAAAAATAATGACTGTTAGTACTACTGTACTAAAATCCTTGGACCTCTAGGGAAAAATAAGATTCATATTGTTCTCAACAAGACGTGATGTAAATCAGATGTGTACTCCAATCAAATCCAAAGGTTTAATTTAAAAAAAAAATTAAATCACTTCTTTTTTCAAAAGTCCATAACATAACCGTTCGACTTTTCTACACTTTATACAACCATTCATTATGGAAAAATTAAAAACTATGCTTTTTGGTACTATATACAAATAGTTAAAAAAAATTACTTCGTTGAAAATCATTCTGATTCTATACACAAATACTCAGAAATCAATTTTAAAAGAATTCACGAATTTCTCACTGATGACATTTTTGTAGTCTTCGGAGAAATCTTCTAATAAACTGTTGGAAACCCAATGGTCATTAAGTGTGCTCCTTTTTCCAACCGACCTGTTTTTTATGCATAAAGCAGACATTATTTTAAAAAATCAACATGAGAGGATTAAAGTACTTGCTGTGACCTTCAACTTTACATTTTTAATATATCAACGATTTTTTAAAATTTTACCTGAACGATGCGTTATGCATTTACTACAGGCTTACGGTGGGCGTGTCCGATCGTCAAGGAATGCTTTCTATTACTCATTCTAGGCACCTGATCCAAACTCTGTAATTTTCTGAAGTCCTGTTTTAATTATTCCCTGATCACAATATGTGATTACCGTTCGTTATATTAACCTTTTTCAACAAATCGAAGATGGAACTTAATTTTTGACAGGGAAGAGGGGAAATATCCAAAGGGGATAAGTTCAAATTACAATCACGTTCTTAATTTTCCTGTGAGGTTTCAAAACATTTGTCTAAATAACTAAGTCCAATCCAATGCCATTAAATATCTAATGGTATGCCATAGACACCTGATGAAAAGATTTTAGTGTCGCATGAAGTATTTTGAAGGATAACGAAGGTATGTGGTCATATTTAATTATCAATCGAAAATTGCCCGTACAGACATCTGATGTCTGTACACCGTCCAATATTTTTTATCTGTTATCCACAATTCTTACAAAATAATAAAAGTTCTTCCTAAATGGAGAAGGTGCATACACCAACCTGCTGTTTTTTTTTTGTTTTTGTTGTTTTTGACTGGTTAAAACGTCCAAAAATACCCTTCACTGCATATTCTTGATATTATGTAAAAAATTTGCAACACATACGTAACATATTATATTATAATATTTATTATTTCAAATATATTAATTTGTATTAATATAAAGAAAAACCAAGAATACTTTGGATAAATATACACACAAACATAAATATTTACCCGTATCACCAATATCAAATAATATAAATATTGTACAAAAAGAGTTTCTGTTCTTTTACGACGTCAACAGGTACTCATGCATGTCACATGACTCTGTTGTTATTGTTTTTCATGAGGAATTCGTGCTCACGCTGTAACTGACACATGACACAACAGGGACACCAACACACCATGCAGCAGTCCTCACAGATATTGCCCTGTAACAAAAATTATTATACTTCTGTTAAAATGTTTCCTATGTAAAGGTAAAATAACTATTTTTCTATAGTCTAAAATTTCCAAAGCTATACCCCAGGGTATAGTTTTTGCTATCCACCCCCGGAAAATTTTCATTTCCTGTCATTTGATTGGTATGCGATACCTCCAACATTCAAGAGTTCCAACCGTACAAAACAAAGTAAATCAGTATAATAAAACGTTTATTCACTGGCAGTGAGCGGGATAGCTCTTTTATCAAACCCTTGACAGGAACTATTCCCCCTCGTGCAAGCCCTCGGGGAATAGTTCCTGTCGCGGGTTAGCCCTCGGGGAATAGTTCCTGTCGCGGGTTTGATAAAAGAGCTATCCCATTCACAGCCAGTGGATAAATGTATAATATTTCAATCGTGAAAATCCACTGCTTTGCTTTGAATGTAGCTGTTCATGACGCCCTTCTCCTAATATTTTACAGTTTGTTGGCAGTACAATAAACATTCCATAAAAAAAGTTGTGTCCTATATAACTCTTACTTAAAAAAGTCTAACATTTCCAATGTTTTACTGAGCGGGCAAAAAAAAAAAATCGATGTTTGACAGCAGGTGAGCTGCTGGACCTGTCGATGAGATGTTGGACCGATTACATCACAGAGTGGGCGGAGTCAGCCATACCTTATTGGAGTTCGACAGAACTGTAGTGCGGGTAAACGAAATTTACATTATGATATATCTCAAAATAAAAAGTACAAGGTATAACAAAACTATTGATAGTGTTGGGCAAAATGCGTTTTGTCGACCCTCTAACCTAATTGTTTACCTTCGGTCTCGTTTGGTTCTTGGGTCTGACAAAACACATGTTGCCCTCGAACACAGTCAATAAAGGTATAATGTTGCAGTAATGTACCTACCATTATGTTGTTTTCTGCTCGGACTTTGACTCTAAGAGGCACCAGAACCTGATAGCTGCAACCAAAGGCACAGGGCAGGAGGAGGTTCTCCCCCAGCTTCATTGACAGGTAGTACAGGTAAAGATTGGGACACAGCGTCACAGCAGCGCCTACAAAATAATTATGTCCAAAAAAACTTATTTGCAACGTTTTATTTTATTTGCCTCAAAGACCCTCCCTTGTCCACTCTTAAAAACATAAATGTCAAACACGAACTACATATACACATGTAATATATGCATGATTTGGGAGATAAATGCACTTACAATTCGTCATGTCGGAGAAACATCCGAAAATATCCGTGGTCCAGGTTCGTTTTTTGTTGACAGGCTGGGCAACTGGCTGTGGAGCATTGAGTACCACGGTGGTGTTTGAAGAGGAGGAATGCTGTGTTTAGAGAAAATGATTTATGTAAAAGATGATTAATAAATGGTCCAGATATGCTTATTGCTCAGTTGTTCAATCAAACTATTATTATTCTAAGTAGATCTTGATGAAAACCAATGTTCTGAAGTTTAATAATTCGTGAAATTCATAGCAGAGGGCCATAAGTCCTTAAAAGTGTTATGTGTACAATTATGACCACCTTATTTGCTACCAAATAAAGAGAACACCTACTCCCTCTCATATCCGTGGTGGAAATCCTTTAAAAGGATACATCATGATGATTTTTTTCTTTTTTTTCCTCATTTTTAGATTGATGGGTGCATAGTATAAAATATAAGACTTACAAAATTCGATGGTGGTGGAGCATGATGGGGGTAAGGCCCTGGTTGGGCCGGTGGTGGATACCCCCCTGGTTGAGCCGCCTGAGTAAATCCGGGCTGTTGCCCTGGCTGTACTGTAATGGGGGCGGCCTCATATGCCGGTGGGGCACTGGCCTCCTGCTGTTTTGTAAGGTCTGTCAGAAAGTAAGAATTATAATTTAGATGTGGTGCAGCAAATCTTGAAAAATTATATTTTTGATAAATTAATAATAATTTTATTTTTTAATTAGATTTAACAATATTGATTTCTTCTAAATATTTTATAAAAAATGTCTTTGACAACTGAATTTATAAAACATTGCTGGCAGCTGAATTTATAAAATATTGCTGGCACCGGAAATCCACGAAAATGAGAAGAGTCATTCTGAAAATCCATATCTGAATTAATGATATTTAAGATTTTGATTTCTTTTAAATATTTTATAAATATGTCTGTGACAATTTATAAAACATTGCTGGCACCAGGAGCCCACGAAAATCAGAAGATTCATTCTGCAAATTCAAATCTGTATACATGTATATAATAATTATACTTTCACGAGAATAACCCGTGAGGCATGATAAACAATGGTTTTGAAAAAATATTTTTATCAATGTCTTTTGTTTGTTATTTTTAAAACAATCGCCAAGTTTAGATTATAAAGACCAACATACCCGACATGATTTGGTTTGTTGCCATACGCTGTACGTGATGTGGCGCGCGTTTCAGGCGAGCTCCCCACATAGTGGTCAAAATGTCAAGGACAAACCTCTCAAGCGAGACGGCAAACAATTCCAAAGACTGAGTTGTAATTCACTCAAAACACCCCCTTTGTTATTTATAGCTTTGTTAAATTCGTTGTGTTTTGACCAGAAAATATATCAATTAGAACTTATGCTGAACAATTGCGGGAGATTTGCACTTTATTTTTAGGTTTACTTGATCTTAAACCTTGTTAATTGTTAATTTGTAATTGATGCTGATTAAAAAAATTAATGCATTTCTTAACCAATACATAACCAAATCACCTCCTGATTATAGAAAGGAAATAAATAAAACAAAACCTAGCACACCAGCAACATTATAAACATTATAAACTGACAGTGAGTGACTGATGCTTATTTCATTTCTTTCTCTCTGTAGGCACATAATATCGAGGAAGGGGGGGGGGGGCATTTTTTTTTCAAATATTTTACTTTGAAAATATTTAATAAAAAACTAAGAGCCAAAGCCTTGAACTTTTGTTGTAGCAGAGTTAATTACTGGGCTCTATTCTGGAAAATAAGAAATGTCAACATTAAATTAAATATACAAATACCTTTTGCAAAATAATTATGCGTGACATAAGTTCAAATATGAATTCAAAACAAAACAACATAATAGATGTCAAATTGGGTAGGAATCCAAATTTATTATAGCTTAAAATTAAATGTCACCCCCCCCCCCTTTCGCTTTCTCTGTGACGAGATAAAAGCTATGACGTCACAGTCATCACTTCTACAAAACCATACTACCCATAGTCCTCTGCGTCTCCGCAAACGAACTCTGGCGGAAGTTTGCTACAAAACAATAAGGTGACGTCACAATCATACTTGATTTTAGCGTGTAGTCAACAACAAAGGTATGCATTTTTTTTAATGAAATCAAATTATTTCTCATTTCTCTCGTTGACTAAATATGTACAAAGTTGATCGACGTATTTTTATCAATTTATTTTAAACAGATTTTTCTCCGATGACTTCAGTGTCTTGCACAAAGATGGATGATGTTATTGATTTATACGTAGTTCCAATCTTCGTGAAGTACATTAATCGCTGGACAGGGAAAAGTCAGTATCTCCTAGAGAAAGCTATACATGCAGTAACTATTTATATAAATATAAAAGGATTGTCAGAGTTATCTGACAGGATACTCTGTGGTTCCGTCATTTTTAACCGCAATAAATTCTTAATTTAATATTTTTTCTTCATATGAATTGCATTTATTGCCACATGGTAAACTTTACAACATGGCAATCCTATAAATTTTAATTTCGCATCTTCAGTTTTGTATATCGAATTTACTGAGAAAAGTAAATAACTTTCTAAAAAGTTATTATAATTAAGAATAAGAGTGTTGAATGGTGTCAATAAATTTGGTCTATATCTGTTTGAAATAATGAACAAAAAGAAACATTTTAATGCATACAATGTTTTTCAAAGTTCAAATGTTAAACATGAATTCCTATGGGAAATATTATAGTAAATAAAAGCTATTAATTATATGTTAATTATGTCCTAAAATAATTTTTGTTGTTAATACCCCGGTATTAATACTTTTTATTGTTCTTATTGCTGCAAATGCATGTTTTGTTCTTTTCTTATTTTTCAATTGTATCTTCAGGGGAGATCCCAAAACCAAGGCACTTAGGACGTAAGACGAGTCAAACAAAGTCCACTCCTAAAGGCGTGGATCTAAACGATCGTGATTCTTATGACGTGGTGGTAGTGGTGGGAATGAAAGATGGACAACCATACACCAAAGACGCCTACAGAAATGTAAGATGTATTATTATATAAAAATTCCGTGTGATACATTATGTGATTTAACTTGACTCTCTGGCTTCCTTTAAAGTTTTATATGTAGTAGATGTGAAACAATTGCATTATTATCACAGACACCTGACGCTATTTATTTTTCTTTTCATAAAAAAAATATATCACCTACCTACATGTAATAATATTATTATTAGGTACTCAGTATGAGGTATATTTTTTATTAAAAGAAAAATAAGTAGCGTGAGATGCCTGTGATTATGTATTATTTAGCAATACTGAAAGTAAAATATATTTTTAAAATATTTACTAAAATGTGTATATACATTTTTATCAAAATTTAAGGACCGAGCTTTAGGCCTTGGATACCGTCTGTCTAAAGAGGACGTATGCCCCTCTTCTATGAATGTAAAGAGAGTCCATTGTTCCGAGGAGAGGGCTGCTTTCCCCAAAGACGTATTTTTTACAGTAAGAGACGGAAGAAGCAAATCTTAAAAATATATATTTATTTGCCATAAGTCGAACTTGCATGTGTAAATTTTATAATGTTTATACAGCAGGTTAAAACTAAGAAGGATAATGACCCCACCTATGAAATGGAGAGACGGGCAAAGTGTCCTAGAACCCTGGAAGAATACTACGGTTACGTAAGTATATGACCTCAGGATAAACTTATACCCCAAAAATCTTATGCAAGTATTTACTTGAAATTATTTGCATTAAAGACCCAATTTTACTGTAGATGTAGAAAAAATGGCCATACTCTTCAGAAATTATTGAATTAGCTTTAATCTTGTCTGAAATTCAATATTAAGTTAGCTAATAGACATACTACATGTAGTACATGTAATTTTATATTGATAGAACACCGAGTCAAGACGGGCACGTGAGTACTCGCTTTATTCCAATAGAGACAGAGAGACACCCACAGTGCATAACGTTCAGTGCTGCTGTACTGAAGATGACCACAGAAGGCGAGAGGCCTGGAACCATTACCAGATGGACTACATGGGGCGGGACGCCTCAGACAACATCATCCAGAAAATCGTCAATACGATTCTAACTCGCCAGTATCACCCCTTTACTCGTGAATATGACCCACATTTCAGGGAAACCTTCATCGGACACCATCCCTACAACTGCCCCTCCGCGGAGCCCCCTCCTCCAACTTTCCGGATTAGAAAAATAATTGAATAGAAATTTGTGTGAAAATCAGAAAATTGTGCCCTAGAGAGAGAGATAGAGAAGTTTTGCTTCAGGCCAGGAGATGGACTGCTGTATGGGCATAAGTTTACAGGATGGTTAGACATAGTGAGCAACGAGCAACAAAGAGGAACAGCTGAAACGCAATACTTTATCTGAGACTATCTTGGGATATCTTAAAAGTCATAGAAGTTTTGTCACAATCAAATGAAAACTTGTATTCTTCAGTAGCCTTAATGTTCGAAGAACAAAAATTAAAACATGCAAGCAATCTCAGTTTTGTTGCAAATTTAGTTTGTCAATCGATCAATCGACCAAGTCCTTGGCTCATAAGTAAAAAAGAAAACATGTCTAAGATACATAAAATACATGATAAATTGATAAACATATACCATATGGTTTTGATAAATGAAACACATTAATCAAATTCAAGAATGCTATTTAAAGGCTTCTCTGCTGCTTCAACCGGATGTAATCGTGTTCACGTGACAGTTGGCACATGACGCATGCGGGACACCAGTAGACCATGCAACAGTCCTCACAAATACTGCCCTGTAATACAAACATTAAACATATAATTATGCATACTCTATTTGACTTGCCGTGGCTCATCAGTTCTGTCTTTCATATTAAATTGACATTTTTCATTTGGCAATGAGTACATGAAAAATTATGTACTAGTACTTGGTAATTGAAATCGTAAATAAGTTCAAGAAAGTACGAATAGTTTTGTCATGAGACAAAATAATATTTTATACTTTCATGTAAATTAGTTGAATCTGATTGGTCGAGAAACATTTGTTAAAAAACACTATTACCCGCTGAATAATGAAGCCACGCCCTCCAGCGTAGCAACAGTCAACAGTGCTTGACGACGGGTGATATTCCAAAAAATAGCGACTGCGCAGAATTTATGCGCGCACGGTTCACTGTTATATGTATTTGTATAAAACATTCAGTATAATATAAAAAATATTGCATGTAGTTGAGTGTAACATTGAAATTTTCACCCCTCGAAAAGTATTGTCAACTTCGGCTGCGCCTCGGTTGACAATGGTTTTCTTGGGGTGAAAATTTTCAATGTTGCACTCAACTACATGCCATATTTATATAATGCGGAGTGATATAAAAGATGAAATAATTTACGCTTCCATTATTCCTGATATTAAATCAAACAACATAAAATATATTCGAAAATTGTTTATTGATCAGTGGTTTAATTTTAAAAAAAAAAATCAAACTCTGAAACAAAGAAAACATAAAAAATAGAACATCCATTGAAAGCTTAAAACTCTGATGAAAGATAGCATAAAAATGAAACATCCAGAGAATTTATATATAATTTATTCAAGCTTACGATAATGTTGTTCTCAACACGGACTTTTGTTCGGAGGGGAATCAGAGAGTGGGATCCAATGGCTAACGGCAGGCAACAGGACTCTCCAAGCTTATTTGCAAGGTAACAGGTATAGCAAGGCATACACCAAAACACAGCACAACCTGCGAAGGTAAAAGGTATATATATTAAGCAGTCTGTTACTTGTACAGTAGCTCGGGCATCGAATGGCCTTTTCCCCCTCCTAGATGTCATTTGTGTAGATTTTTGTGGTGATATGTTTCCATACAAAATCTTATCTCAAACTGGAAAATCAATTAAAACACAACCACTTGCTTTCAAAATATTCTTCATAAGATTGATTTTAAAAAATGCTTTTATGGTATTTTTTGTGATTACTCTGTTATTTTGTTCACATTCTTTCTTACTATTCTCTTCTATAAATAATTATACTGCTGTCTGCTTCTCTTTGAAAAAAAGTTCTACGTTTCAATCTATATGCCATGGCCGTAGGAAGGGGGGAGGGGGACATGTCAATAATTTTGCTGATATATAGAATACTTTCAAAAAAAGCTACTACTTAGTATATGCTTGTTTCCACTCAATAAAAACGTCTGATGACCTTTTTTTTCGCTTGTCAAGGTATTTTTCGTAGCTGATGGTAACCCAACCTGAGAAATTTAGGGCTGTAACCACACCCCCCCCCTTCCCCAACTAAAATTACAGGTACTTCCGAAGAGCCTGTATACCCTTTTGTAGATCCGCCGAAATATGGCTGAAATATTGCCGATTCGGCAATGCAGTGCAGTACATACTTACATGATGTCATATCCTCGAAACAGCCACAGAGACCCGAGTTCCAGTCCCTCATCTGAGGTCGAGTTAGGACCTGTTGTTGCTGAACAACCACAGTGGTGTTGCTAGAATGCTAAGCAAGAAATCTTTCTTTTAATGTTAAATTCCCTTCTTCTTAACAAGTTGCATAGCCAGCGCTCTTTATTTTCTTTTGATAGTAGATAATTTGCAAGATGAAGTAAACTTTTTAGATGGTATTTATGCGGAACAAACCGTATTTTCTGTATATACATGTAAATCTTGTTTAAATGACAAATAACTCACATATCCAAATGGCTGCCCTACCCGCGGTTGAACTGTTACCAGTCCAGGTTGGCCTGAGTACTGATAGGGAGTGAACCCCGGGGGAGGTCCCTCATCGAGAGGTGGAACATTTTGTTGGGATCCAGGTAGATACTGTAGATCACTAAATTTTTGCGACACCTTATTTTCGCGAGATAGGCATTGATTCTTAATAAACGAGACAAAATTTTCACGAATTGTGGTTATTCCTCTATATAATCCTAAGGAATACTATTATAAGCGAGAATTAAATTTTCGCGAGCACACTGTCTCGCGTAATTACGCGTAAATAAAGTTCACGCGAATAAAAAGTGATTTACAGTAACCCGCCTTCCCTTGAAATAAAATAAAAATAATGATTGTTCCCCGCTTTCACGAAAGCTTGAGGATATTAAATCTCATTTGTCTGTCCGTCTGTCGTCAGCAGCTGTCCGTCTGTCCCAAAAACTTTAATATTGGCCATAACTTTTGATTGAGAAGAGATAGGACTTTCATATTTTACATGTGTATTGCCTGTGACAAGACCTAAATCTAAATACCGGTATGTTATATTTTTTACCCTGTGGCCTTTACTTTGAAGTTTGATCTACTAATAAACATTACTTTTAATTGGCAATTACTTTTCAAAGAGAAAAGGTAGGGGTTTCATACTTCACATATGTATCACTTGTGATAAAACCTTTCTAAATACTCATGATTTTTTACCCCGTGACCTTGACCAACTTTTCAAAATATTATTTTTCTAAATAAATTTTGATAGAGAAGAGATAGGGTGGTTTTCATATAAAAATTTGGGTTCGATCAAGATAAAGTAAAAGGCAGAAAATTGAAAAAATCCCGGCCCGGGTTTGCTTACCTAATTTTACCAACACTCGTAGCGAACACCCTTCCACCTAGCGTTATAATGCTGCAGTAAATTTTGACTACTTGTATTCCTCTTCACTGAATATGCTTCATTGTTTGCGTGATTGAATTTACAATTGTAATAGAGATAATCATAAAAAATTGTTTAAAAAACTGTGTCAATGTAAAGGAAAGGACCGGAATGAATTTTCAAGAATAAAGCAACATGTGTAGAAGTAAGGACAAAATGAAGAATGATAAAAGTTCAAAGTGAAATGTAATAAAGACGAATATGAAAACAATAATAAAAGTAACATATAGTTACAATAATAAGAAAGAAAAAAGAAGTAGGCAGAATAAGAATAAAAGCAAGATTACAAATGTAAAGTCGAACACGAATGTACAGTTGTTTTGTTTGAGTATTATGTGTTTTTCCTTGTTTCTGTGTTTAAAGTCGAACCTACTGGAAAATTAACAAGATGATTTACAAAAGGAAAGGATAAAGATTTTAAAAATTTTTACGTTAAATTTCAACGGACTTTGTTCTGTATTTTATAAAAGGTTTCCCAATAAAAACCAAACCTTCATCGAGGAAGTAAATGCTATGAAAATGAGCCGTGTCACATCGAAAAGAATGAACGACAGGTAAGAACTCATAACCTTTTATCCATACATTTCCGGATAATTTTACACTTAAACGATGAAGCCAAGCTGTTTTTATTGTTAAGTTTATTGCTAGATAAACTATGTAGGCGTAATTTTGCTTTTCTTTATTTCTTTACTCCTGTAGAAGACGCGGATACTTTCAAATAGGTTGAGTGGATGGGAAGGGTTAAAGTCGTTCTTTAGTTAATTTTTAACGAAACAAGATGTGTTTGTGAAACACTGATACCCCGTAGGGCAACACACCGTTAGTGGAGATTAAACTTTTCATAAATGCAAATCAAATATGTTGGTATCCAAAGTAAGGTCTTGTCACAAGAAACACAACTGTGATATATGAAAACCCTAGCACCACCAATTCAAAAGTTATGACAAGGATAAGTTTTTGAATTCAGAAAGGTAGGTCAAACTCCAGGGTCAAGGTCAAAGGGTCAAAATTTTTGGTTTTCAAAGAAAGGTTTTGTTACTGTTACAAGGATTACATTTTTTGAAATATGAAAAGCCCCTAGCCCTTACGTTCAAAAGTTATGGCCAAGGTTAAAGGTTTTTGTAAGTACACGTACGTAAATCTCCAAGGTCAAGGTCAAAATGTCAAAGTTGTTGGTATCCAATGAAAGGTCTTGCCACAAAGAAAACATACGCGAAGTTTGAAAGTCCTAATATTTACCGTTCAAAAGTAAAAGTTTGGATTTTGTGTAAAAATGGGTCAAACTCCAAGGTTAAGTTCAAAAGTTATGTGCAAGGTTAAAGATTGTGCGGACAAGCAGACATGCGGACGGACACAACAAAAACTATACACCCCCGTATCTTCGATTACGGGGGCAAGAAAAATCTCCGATTACGCTTCATGTGTAATGTATAAATAGGTCTGCTAATAAAAAAAACGGGCCGCTATCGGTACCAATGGGAATCCAACAGATTGTCTCAAGACCTGGTCTTCAAAAACTACATAGATATTGTCAATCAAAATCAAAACATCTTTAAATATCTATACTTGTGTACTAACAGAATGTCTTTTTTTAATTAACAGAATGTTATTGCAAATGACCAGTGACAAGGCATGTAAATGAAAGATATCCATTTTTACATTATGAAAAATACTTCCGACTATAGACGTCAAAAAGTTATGATGGGGAATTGTTGTACATGTATAGAGTATTGGACGATCGTACGTTTTTATACCCGCACTTTCTAAAGAAAGTTCGGGTATATTGTTGTTACTCATGTCCGTCCGTCCGTCCATCTGTCACACTTTTCTTCCCTGAACTCCTCCTACATTTTACACAGTAGCTTAATCATCTTTTGGGAGATGGTTGGTGGTGTCATGTAGATGTGCAGTAAAGTTTCGGAATTTTGATTTTGCCCAGGGGGGTCAAATGGGGGTCGAAAAATGACGTTTTTTATGCAAAAAGTCCCGTCTTCCCTGAAGTCCTTCTACATTTTACTCAGCAGCCTAATCATCTTTTGGGAGATGGTTGGTGGTGTCATGTAGATGTGCAGTAAGGTTTCGGAATTTTGATTTTGCCCAGGGGGGTCAAATGGGGGTCGAAAAATGACGTTTTTAATACAAAAAACCCCATCTTTCCTGAACTCCTCTTACATTTTATTCAGCAGCCTAATAACCTTTTGGTAGATGGTTAGTGGTGTCATGTAGATGTGCATTAAGGTTTTGGAATTTTGATTTTGCCCCGGGGGGGGGGCAAATGGGGGTCGAAAAATGACGTATTTTATGCAAAAAAAGCCCCGTCTTCCCTTAACTCATTCTACATTTTACACAGTAGCCTAATCATCTTTTGGGAGATGGTTGGTGGTGTCATGTAGATGTGCAGTAAGGTTTCGGAATTTTAATTTTGCCCAGGGGGGTCAAATGGGGGTTGAAAAATGAAGTTTTTTATGCAAAAAGCCCCATCTTCCCTGAACTCCTCTTACATTTTATTCAGCAGCCTAATCATCTTTTGGGAGATGGTTGGTGGTGTCATGTAGATGTGCAGTAAGGTTTTGGAATTTTGATTTTGCCCCGGGGGGGCAAATGGGGGTCGAAAAATGACGTATTTTATGCAAAAAAAGCCCCGTCTTCCCTTAACTCATTCTACATTTTACACAGTAGCCTAATCATCTTTTGGGAGATGGTTGGTGGTGTCTGGTAGATGTGCAGTAAGGTTTCGGAATTTAGATTTTGCCCCGGGGGGTCAAATGGGGTTCGAAAAATGACGTTTTTATGCAAAAAGCCCTGTCTTCCCTGAACTTCTCTTACATTTTACTCAGCAGCTTAATCATCTTTTGGGAGATGGTTGGTGGAGTCATGTAGATGTGGAGTAAGGTTTCGGATTTTTGATTTTGCCCCGGGGAGTCAAATGGGGGTTGAAAAATGATGTTTTTTATGCAAAAAGCCCCGTCTTCCCTGAACTCCTCTTACATTTTACTCAGCAGCCTAATCACCTTTTGGGAGATGGGTGGTGGTGTTATGTAGATGTGCAGTAAGGTTTCGGAATTTTGATTTTGCCCCAGGGGGTCAAATGGGGGTCAAAAAATGACGTTTTTTATGCAAAAAGCCCCGTCTTCCCTGAACTTCTCCTACATTTTACACAGTAGCCTAATCATCTTTTGGGAGATGGTTGGTGGTGTTATGTAGATGTGCAGTAAGGTTTTATAATTTTGATTTTTTCCCCTGGGGGTGGAAAAATGACGTTTTTTGTGCAAAAAGTCCTGTCTTTCCTGAAGTCCTCCTTAATGTTACTCAGAAGCCTAATCATCTTTTAGGAGAGTTAAATATTTTGAAAATTATGTAAAACATCAACGTCAAGTGGTAAAAAAGCATCGCATGCTGGGAAACGCCTTGAATTCTTATGAGTAATTAATGTACATGTCAAATGTGAGAGTCATATCTCATCTCAATCAAAAGTTATAAGCAAATGCAACATTTTTGAAAAGTAGGTTAGACTTCAAGGTCAAGGTCACAGAGTAAAAGTCATGATTCATTTGGAAAGATCTTATCACAGGTAATAATATACATGCATTATAATATGAATGCCCTAACTTTTCTCTTTCAAAATGATGAATTTATAACAATTTAATTTTTTTGCAAGTAGGTCAAACTTCTAGGTCATATGTAAAAAAAAAACACCATGCCATTCTCACAGGTAAATACTAGTACAATAGTTTAATATGAATGCCTTGTCTCTTCTCATTCAGTAGATATGACCGTGATGACCAAGGTTAAATTCATTGAGACAAATTGTTGATATCAGAGGAAAGTCTTGTCACAAGGAATGCACATGTGAAATAAATAATCCCTAGTACTTCCTGTTGAAAAGTTAATTGCCAAGGTTAATTTTTTTTTAAGTGGTTCAAACTCTAGGGTCAAGGTCAAACATATTTAAACCTGTTGACAGTTCACAATGAATACAGTACATGTTAAGCATGAAAGCCCTAGCACCTACTGATCAAAATTTAAGCCAAGTTTAAGGTTTGGTATTTTTCTTGTAAAAATGTGTATCCTAGGTCAAGCGATCAGAGGTAAAAATTAATGGTACCCAAATAAAAGGTCTTAATTGTCACAAGAAATAAACCTATAAAATGTGGAAGCCATTTGTATAGCACATCCCACTTAAAACTTATGGGCAAGGTTATAATTTCTGCAGACAAATAGACAGACATAATATAAACACAAGAAACAAAATATGTATAGTTAGTCAAATAGAAAAAAACATACTATTTCAGGGACAGGGAGTGGGTAGGGAGATTGGACCCCCCCCCCTGGAATTTGCTTTGTTATTTAAACAAGACTATATACTGAAGCAAATAAAAAATGACTTTGGACATCCTCCCCCTAACTTAGAAAACATTGACCCGACTATCATTGTTTTTATTTTGTTTATTTGTTTTCAGTTTTTTTTTCTCCTGCTTGTCAGGAAATTCTTGGCTGGAATTTTTTGACTGAGATGTGAACCCACCTCCCTACTCCCGAAAAAAAATTCTGGATCCGCACTAGTATTGGCAGTAACTGAATGTCACATCGACAACGGGAGATAACTTCACAATATGAAATTCGTGTAGTGTGGCATGCGATGATCTTTGACCCTTTTTGAACTTTAACCTAATCGTTTGGGTTTATTTTACCCCCCACTATACTTAAACTTCTACTTACCGACCTCCATAGGTCTTGTCAGCTTCATGAAATATATAATCCAATTATAACACAAAATGAATATTAATCCAATGCACACCAGACTGCAGCATGACACTGCTAATGCTATTCCATTCGGCAAACCTTCGTGCCGTCGATTCCGTCACCTTATCAGATGAAGTGGGAATCGGCGGAGGTGTGCCGAATGGAGTTTAATCTAAAAATATGATAATGGGTGACGCAACGTGATGTGATGTAGAAATTTACATGTTAACATGTATAGTACAAGAGCAAATTTTAAATTAATTCATAACAAACGATGTTTTAACAAAACTGTTCCATCTAGCCTATTCCAAAAAGTATGTGCTGTGTGATTGTGATGTCGAGAGGGGGGGGGGGGGGATTAGTAAATTTGAAAAGGTCCTCAGCAATTATGAGCAAAACATTTATCAAAATCTAATTTACATCATTAATAGAATTCAAATTGGTATATAATGAATTAAGCATGTAAAATAAATATAAGAGGTTCAGAGTTATAGGTCATAGGGAGAATTTCATACTCAATTTGATGAATACACTGTACATGTAAATTATATAGAATTATTTTGACTTTTTCCTTGGAAAGCCGCCCAATATGTAGGAGCGTGTATTTAGAGGCAAACACCTTAGTGCGGGTATTACTGTCTCATGACAGCATCTAGTTATTAATACTTTTAAATTTAATTGGTAAACTTTTCTTGATTCCAAATTTTCTATGAATTCTTCATAAGTTTTTAAAAGTATATACATCTGATTACATCATTTCTCGAACATTTAAACAATAAAATGCTTTCTTTGGTTGTTAGTACGGGTTTGAATGTCGCAGCTGCTGCAGAAAAAATACATAACCCGCGTAAGCATTTTATTGTTTATATCTTTAAATAATCATTTAAAGTAGGATTGAAAAGTTTAATTATTGCATTAATGGTGCGAACATGTTTGTACGTTTCATTGATGGAACAGTCTCTGTTCAAGAAATCTGTACAGGTGACATGCCTAGTGCAGTTCATGAACTGATTAACGCAATGGTTTTTCATAAGAAATAAAGGAGGAAATATTCAGTGGATGTAAATATAGTGTAGTAAAGTACATGTACTTTAGAAGTCGCTTTTCAGTCAGTGATTTGGGGCCTTCTTGTTACTTCTTAATACTCGCCAGTAATGATGTGTCTTGTACCATACAGTTCATAAAACGCATTAAGCAATTCAATACTTTTAATCACTTTATTAAGCAAACTGCTTTATAATGGTCAATAAGTTTATCTCGTTATTTGAAAGAAAAACTGAAGGGAGAAAGGAAAATAATCAATCGATCAATCAAACAATCTCTAAATATATATCAAGTTGTTGGTTCATTACAAAAAAGAAAGGTGCACCAACCAAAACAAGGATTTCTGTTGTACTTGACGAAGAAATAAAACGTTATACACCAATTCCAGCATAGGATGAATGAAAATCCTTTTGTCTAGCTAACCCCCCCCCAAAAAAAAAAATCCCGAATGTCATCTCATGATAATCTGTTGGTTCAGCTGGATGTTATCGTGTTCACGTGACAGTTGGCACATAACGCAGACAGGACACCAGCAAACCATGCAGCAGTCCTCACAAATACTGCCCTGTAATACAAATATATGTATCATAATTAATCGACACCCCCTTTGATTTAAAGTATTTCATCCGTTAATTCCTCACATTTTGTATTTTGGTTATCATTTGGTTACTTTAATTTTGTAAGCCTTAAATCTTTCTAAAAAATCATCATGTGAAATTTCGAAAATCATGGACAGAAAGGAATTGTTTTTGGATAAAGTTTTTTTTAAAAGTTTTTTTTAAGGGTAAAGGTGTATTTTTCAGTAAAAGGGTAATCCACAATTTCTAGATTCAAAATGTATAAAGATTGATCTCTCTTTTTCGAATAAATATTTCTGCAGGTAAAGAGAATTCTGTTGATCTAAACTTTAGATAAAAACATTCCTTTTGCTCTCAGATACCGCAAGACATAAATATTTGAATTAAACAAACCTAGTTAAAAAAGAATATAATAAGAGGAACTGACATTTACGGTCATTTGATATCGAACATCTTTATTTATAATATTTATTCATCGGATAATTTTCATAATTTACTATTAAAGGAATACAGACTGTGAGTTCAGACTTACGACAATGTTGTTTTCTGCACGGACTTTGGTTCGGAGAGGAACCAGAGAACCGCATACTGGGAAAGCAAATGGCAGACAACAGGACTCCCCAAGCTTTGATGAGAGGTAACACGTATAGCAATTCGCACACCAAGTCACAGCGCAGCCTATTGTTGTAAAAAGGAATATGTTGGTTATGTTTTCTGGACTTCAGAGTTCAGTACATGAGCATGGAATTTAAATTTTTCTTACCGGTTTCTTTTAAAATCTTTTCTCCAAAACTAAATGATCAAATCGAGACATTTTTATATTGCTTGTATATTAGTACATTAAAATTTCGAAACATGAATTTTAACAAATGGTTTAAAATTGAATAAACCTCAATATCTTCACAAATTACAAATTCAGTACATGTACTTTTTTTATTTTTTGATTTTTTTAATGTTCACACCTCTTATAGTTTTGAATTTCTCTGTCAAATAATTTCTTTTCAATCTTTAATCTTTTTAGAGTCGATTCCATCGATTTTACATATACACAGATACAAACATACAAGATGCAATGTCCTCGAAACAGCCACAGATACCGGTGCTCCAGTCCCTCATCTGAGGTCGAGTTGGCACCGGTTGTTGCTGTACAACCACAGTGGTGTTAATGGTATGCTATGTCGAAGAAGGGAAGAGGCATTTAATAAAAAATTACCATTATACATTCTTTGTTCTTATAACATCAATTTAATGTAAAACTGAAGTTCCAGTCCTTCACCGGAGAAAATACATGCATAGAGGAACAGAAGAAACAGATAATTTTTTGCAGCGGTGGAATTAAGCCCCCCCCCCTCCCTACTAAAATTGTCAGAGTTAGCATAAGCCATAGTTTCTTCGAGAAAGTGCAAAGAAAAATTCTACTCGGTAGATTTAATTTTTTCCCCGACAAAATCTCCCAGACCCCATGCCTACTTTTGCCCTCCTCCTCCCTCCACCAATTTTAATTCCTGGATCCGCGCCTGTTTTCATTTTTCGTTTGAATATACCTAAGAAAAGTTAAATAATATAGAAAATTTAGTTGTATATATATTTTTCAAGCAACTTAAAATTGCATGGGCGCCGGAAGCAAATTGAAAGTGGGGGGGGGGGGTAAGCGAAAGGGGGGGGGGAGGTAATCGAAAGTGGGAGGGGGCCAAACCAACAAAAAAAGGTAAATCCCAATTTTGAATGCCTCTATATAGGGTCTATTTTTACAAAAAAAAACGGGGGCCTAGGCCCCCCCTTCCCTAGCCCCCCGGTTCCGACGCCTATGAATTGGGGTTTGTAGCCGATTTAAGTACTGTGAAATCACAAATTTTCGTGGGGGTTAATTTTCGTTGATTTCAAGGTGTAAAGAACCCACAAATTCATGTCCACCACGAAATGTTAAAAGTGACACACGTTTTTACTCAACAATTCTACATCCACAAAATCAAATCCTCAGAGACCAAAAGTTTTTCCTCGAACCACGAAAATTTGACCCCACGAAAATATGCGATTTTATAGTAGGTTTACGTAACCTGACGGGAGTTTAAGGTTTTGAAAATAATGAAATCTTTGACAAAGGTGGTATTTTTAGTGTAAGCAATTTATGATCGATGCATCAGATATGCAGCTATTTAAGATCTCTCACGTTTAAATCGTTTTAAAATGATAAAATCAACAATCAGAGCCAAAACCATATTTAAGCAACTAAAAGTGCTCTATAGTCAGCATATGTTGTCTACAATCGATCGAGATAAACCAAGTTTAAACAAATTATTTTATAAGTGCCATATATTGTCTGGAAATGAAAAAAAACTCACGTATCCAAATGGCTGCCCCACCCCAGGTTGACCTGTTACCGGCATAGGCCCTTGTTGTCCCGGATACTGGGGGGTATTGTATCCAGGAGGGGATCCTTGATCGAAAGGTTGGACATTCTGCTGCGGGGGTGTCATTGGAGGCTTTCCTAGAAAGAACATGAACGTCCCAAAATTTGAACATCCTTATTTTCTTGTCCTGTATTAAATAATTTTTTTCTTAATAAATACATTATTTGATGCAAAATTTTATTTTAAAAAACTGAATAGCATCGAAAAAATAGAATTGGTTATAGAAATTTTCATTTAAAACATTTTCTTAAATACTTATTACATTTGTAAATATCTCTCACAATGAATTACAATACTATGTTATAATTGTTTTTTTGTTTTATAGTAATCAGAAGCTAAATCAGACGGGAGGAAAATCGGATTAAACGTTTTAATTTCATTTGTACTCCAAAGGATTTCAATCATTAAAATGCAGTACACTCAATTTTTAAAATAAGTCAGATTTTCCTTCAGACATAGCAAAAAAAAATTGTGATTAGTTGGGCAATAAGAATCATACAATCGCTGCAAATATTCTTTCCAAGTGTACAAACCTGATTCCCAATCCGCCATTTTGTTTTATCGGGACAAGACCAACCAGTGCCATGCAGTGACAGTTTTCTGTGTAATTTGACCTTTAGACCTTGACCTTGGAATTTGACTCACTTTTCTCAAAACTTTTAAACTTTTAGTAAAAGGCTTTCATACTTCACATATTTTTTATCCTTGTTAAAAGACCTTTCATTGGATATCAACAAATTTGACTTAACTTAAACCTTGGTGATGACTTTGGAACAGTTGATACTTAAGTTTAGTGAAAGGTTTTCAAATTTCAAATGTTTATCTTTGTGACAAGATTTATCTTTCTGTTCAGCCATTTTCAAATGCAAGACAATAACACTATAGTGTTTCAAAATAACTTTTAAATATCAGTCAATAGACTGTAAAAAGACATGTGAATAGACTATCTAGACATTTTTTTCAAACACACACACAAACACAAACTAAAAAATTTTTCTAAAGTCCGTTTAATAATTATGATGAATTTTGATAATTATGATTCTCTATAGATATCACGTCTTAAGAGTAAAAGCTTAAAATATTCTTACCTTTGCCACCATCTTTACTTGGAGTTTGACCTACTTTTTAAAATATTTAACCTTGGCCATAACTTTTGAATGGTAAGGACTAGGGCTTCTTTCATACTTCACATATGTTGTCTTTGTGAGAAGACCTTTCATTGGGTACAAGGAACTTTGACCCTTTGACCTTGGAGTTTGACCTACTTTTCATAAACAAACCTTGACCATAACTCTTGAAGGGTCAGGGCTAGGGCTTTCATACTTCACATATATAATCCTTGTGACAAGATCTTTCATTGGATATCAAGAACTTTGACCCTCTGACCTTGACCTTGGAGTTCGACCTACTTTTTAAAATATTTAACCAAGGGCTTGGTCTTTCATACCTCACATTTGTAATACTTGTAACAAGACCTTTATTAAGAAACCAACAACTTTGACACTTTGACCTTGGAGTTGATGACCTACCTTTCAAAAACTTATCCTTGGACATAACTTTTGAACAGGTGGTGCTAGGGCTTTCATACTTCACAATCGTATTTCTTGTGAGAAGACCCTATTTGGGTACCAATATATTTGATATGCATTTAAGAAAAGTTTAATCTTCGCTATGTTGCCATACGGGGTTATCAATGTTTCACAAACACATATTGATCCTTTTAACTTTTGATTGAGAAGAGATAGGGCTTTCATATTTGACATATGCATTACTGTGACAAAATATTTCCGAGCATGCTATGATTTCTGACTCCTTGACCTTCGGGATTGACTTTAAAAAAAAAATTCAACTTCGATGATAACTTCTGAATGACATATGATAGGATGATTGTTCATATTTGACACAATGTGTCATTAAAAATGACATGTCACCCACAAAGATACCGAAAGCGGGGGACCACAATTCTTATAAATTGCTTGTTTTTTTAGAATTCGCCCAAACGATGTTTGGGCGAAGAGGGCCCTGTATTCAATATTTCCCTTCTTCTTACAACTTACTCAACCAGCCCTTTTTGTAGATAATTTGCACAATGAAAATAAATGTCCTGAGGACTGATAGGGAGTGTACCGCGAGGGAGGAGGTCCCTCATTGAAAGGTGGAACATTTTGTTGGGACCGATGCAGATAACCCGCCTTCCTTTGAAATAAAATAAAAATAATGATTGTTCCCCGATTTCGCGAAAGCTTGAGGATATTAAATCTCATTCGCCTCTCCGTCTGTCAGTCAGTAGCTGTCCGTCTGTCACAAAAACTTAAATCTTGACCATAAATTTTGATAGAGAAGAGATTAGACTTTCATATTTTACATGTGTATTGCCTGTGACAAGGTCTTTCTAAATATTTTAATGAATTTTGACCCTATGACCTTTACTTTGAAGTTTGACCGACTAGTACTTTTCGAAAAATTAAACATTACTTTAAATTGCCAAAATTTTTGAAAGAGAAAAGGTAGGGGTTTATTATTTCACTATGTATTACCTGTGACAAGGCCTTTCCAAACACTCAATGATTTTTTTACCCCGTGACCTTGACCTTTAGGTTTGACATACTTTTCAAAAATGTTATTTTTCCTTCTAACTTTTGACAGAGAGGAGATAAGGTTTTCATATGATATGTGCATCACCTGTAATAACTTAAAGATGTTTCTGAAAAAAAAATTACCTTGACTTTTCATATGATATGTGCATCACCTGTAATAACTTAAAGATGTTTCTGAAATTTTTTTTTACCTTGACTTTCATGTTTCACCTTTTTAAAAAAAAAATAATAATTTGGTTATTACTTTTTCATGACATATAATAGGGTGTGTATATTTGACACAATATGTCATAAGACAGCGAAAGCGGGGGGCCACAATTCTTAGAATTTGTTTAACTGATAACTAATAATAAAAATCCATAACAGGCAAATGACATTGAACAGTCTATTATTTCTAGTTTTTTTTTTCGCAAAAAATAAATTTGAAAATCGATTTAAAAACTTTCATAATAAAAATCTAAATTATAAGAATTTCTCCCATGCAGTGAATATATCTAAAGCAATAGAATTACAGTGTAGTTAGGCAATTCAGAAAACCATCACAATTACAGACCTGATTCTTCATCCGCCATTACAAATGTACAGTCGAACACGAATGATGTTTTGTTTGTATATTTTGTGTTTTTCCTTGTTTCTGTATTTAAAGTTAAACCTACAGGAAGATTAAAAAGATGATTCATAAAAGGAAAGGGTAAAAGATTTCAAACAATTACATTTTAAATTTTAAAGGACTTTGATCTGCATTTATAAAATGTCTCGAGAAAAAACCCAAACGTTCAGCGAGGAAGTAGAAACCACGAAAATGATCTGGGGTTAAAAGAAAGCAATGTTTTAATGGACTGTTTAAAAATCAAAGTTTCACTGCATATCTATATCTAAAATTATGTTTCTCAAGGGATGAACTCCATATGTAGGTAATAATGGTATATTGCTACAAAAGTAAGTGAAGTTGACGATTGAAATGTTAAGCTGGCCTATGAATGGTTTTCAATAAAAGTCACTACATATACGTCGTCGATACATATATCTAAATATCGAGCTTATCTTCCCTTGTATATCCTCTGAATAGATTCAGCTTCATGTGGAATATAAATAGGTCTGCTAATAAAAAACGGGTTGCAATCGGTACCAATGGGAATCTGACAGTTAGTCTGAAGCCCTGATCTTCAAAAACTACTTAGCTATTGTCAATCAAAATCAAAACATCTTTTTATATCAATTTCAGAGTATACTTGTGTGTACAATTAGAATGTCTTTTTTCATTAACAGAATTTTTTTTTTTTGCAAATGACAAGTGACAAGGTAAGTAAATGAAATAGTTGTATCAATTTTTATTGAAAATACATCTGACTATCGATGCCAAAAAATCTGGACTCTAATTTATCATTGGGAATGGTTGTATACAATGTTGGACAGTCCTATGTTTTAATGCTATTGAATGTGGTAAAATCTTGTGATTCTAAATTTTCCAAGAATTTCTTAAGTTTTAGTTTTTAAGTATATATATCTGATTACATCATTCTCGAACAAATTATATTAAAGCACATGTACGTAAGAAGTCGCTTTTCAATTAGGAATTTGAGGCCCGTCGTCTCAAGCCACGGTCCGGAGTCCACATACAGCTCTCTCCTACAGAATGGGAGAAGATCGTGCATTTTGGCCGTGGTTTGCGACGATGTTTGAGGCCCTTCTTGTTACTTTTTACTCGCCAGTAATGATGTGTCTTGTACCATACAGTTCAATGGACGAATAAAACAAATAAAGCGCATTGTGCAGTTTTAAATCATTTTATTAAGCAAACTTCTTTATAATGGTCAATTTTCTTTATTGAATGTTTTTGTTATATGAAGTCAATAAGTTGATATTCTTCTTGAATTGAAACGTAAAAAAAAAATAATCAATCAATCAATTTCTCCATGAATCAAGTTGTTGGTTTATAACTAAATTAAAAAGAAAGGTGCATCAATCAAAACACTGATTTATGTAGTATGTGATTAAGAAATGAAACGCTATACACCAGTTCCAGCTTAGAATGAATAAAAAACCCTTTGCCTAAATAACCCCCTCCCTTAAAAAAAAATCAAGAATGTCATCTCATGATAATCTGTTGGTTCAGCTGGATGTTATCGTGTTCACGCGACAGCTGGCACATGACGCATGCGGGGCACCGGTAGACCATGCAGCAGTCCTCACAGTTACTGCCCTGTAATACAAATACATATAAATAAATCAATTTCCCCTCTGATTTGTAAGAGAAATCATCATGTTATTGTAATATAACATTTCTTGTTAAAAGTATGTTTTTCTTCCTTTCATTTTTATTTTTTTTGGGAAACGGTGTATTTTGGGGGATAAAAAATCGATCTTTTCTAGATGATCTATTGAATAACAGTTTATTTAACTTTTTAAAAGATAGCATTTTTTTTCAGGTACCGCAAGGAACAATACCTGAATTTAACGACAAATAAAATTTGAAATGATAATAAAAACTAACATTCACGGAACATTTGATATCGAACAGCTTTATCAATTTTATAACATTCATGGAGCGGATAATTATAAATTATTTAATAATGTATTTTTTTTATTATAAATTATCTGTCGGGAGGTTATGTATACATGGAAAATTTCGCTCCCGTTTTATTTTCGACCCTTTCGCCCTAGTCACCAGTGAGCGAATTTTAAACGGGGCGAACTCAAAGAACACAGTGTTAATTCTTAAACAGAACTGTGCCTGGGCGAATTTAAAATGTGGCAAAATTGTCTGTAAGTGTAAACGGGCGAAAATAACCCTGTATACCGTATTAATATTATGAAATTTTTTCCAACATTCAGACTTACGACAATGTTGTTTTCTGCACGGACTTTGGTTCGGAGAGGAACCAGAGAACCACATACTGGGAAAGCAAATGGCAGACAACAAGATTCTCCAAGCTTTGATGAGAGGTAACACATATAGCAATTCGCACACCAAGTCACAGCGCAAGCTGTTGTGATAAAAAGAATCTCTTGGTTTCAAAATTTCTCGGCTTCATGCAGTTAAGGAGTGCGAGAAGAATTTTTAAAGGACAAAATAGGCTAAGTGCATACTTATAGAGTAATAAATATATTTATACTTTTTATAGTAAGAGATACCATTGGAAATGTTTTTTATGCGCCCGGATCGATAGATCCAGGGCGTATATTGTTTTTGTCCAGTCTGTCTGTCTGTCTGTTTGTTTGTTTGTCTGGTTGTTTGTTTGTCTCGAACTTTATCCTTCACCATAACTTTTGAACCATGAAAGATAGAGACTTCATATTTGGTATGCATACTTCACTAATTAACTTCTTTCAAATGATACCAAGGTCAATGACCTTGTGACCTTAGCTGTGGCCTATATGCAAAGAATAGCTTTTTTTCTGTAAACTTTAACCTTCACCATAACTTTGGAACCATGAAAGATAGAGACTTCATATTTGGTATGCATACTCCACTAATCAGGTTCTTCCAAATGACACCAAGATCAATGACCTTGTGACCTTGACTTTGACCTATATGCTTAAAATAGCTTTTTTGAACCCTCACTATAACTTTTGAACCATGAGAGATTGAGATTTCATATTTGGTACGCAAAATCCACTAATCAAGCTTTTTCAAATAACCTTGTGACCTTGACTGTGACCTTAATGCTTAAAATAGCTTTTTCCGAACTTTGTTGCCGCCGGGCGCATAGTGTTTCACAAACACATCATGTTTAAAAATGTAAATGTCCTTTATGGTAAATGTGTTTTTCTCAGTCAAATAATCCTTTAAAATAAAGTCGATTTCCTTAATTTTACATATACATGGATACAAACGTACATGAAGCCATGTCCTCGAAACATCCACAGATACCAGTGCTCCAGTCCCTCATAGAAGGTCGAGTCGGCACCTGTTGTTGCTGTACAACCACAGTGGTGTTGGTGGTATGCAATGGCGAAGAAAGAAAGGGGCATTTAATCAAATATTGCCATTACCCCTAATACAATGGTTTGTTCTTATAACATCAGTTCATTGTATAATTAAAGTTTCAGTCCTTCACCGGAGAAAATACATGCATAGAGGAACAGAAGAAATGGAGGCTTTTTTCAGTGGCGGATTTAAGCCCCCCCCCCCCTCCAAAAATCGTCAAAGTTAGCATAAAAAATAGTTTCATCGAGAAAATGCAAAGAAAAATTCTACTTGGTAGACTTAATTTTTTCCCCTACAAAATCTCCAAGAGCCCTGCCTACTTTTGTGACCGAGGTTTAAGGCTTTGAAAATAATGACATCTTTAACAAAGGTGGTATTTTTAGTGTAAGTAATTTATGATCGATGCATCAGATATGCAGCTATTTAAATATCTCTCACGTTTAAATCGTTTTAAAATTATAAAACTAAAAGTGCTCAATACTCAGCATATGTTGTCTACAATCGATCGAGATAAACCAAGTTTAAACAGATTATTTTATAAGTGCCATATATTGTCTGGAAATGAAAAAAAAACTCACGTATCCAAATGGCTGCCCCACCCCAGGTTGACCTGTTACCGGCATAGGCCCCTGTTGTCCCGGATACTGGGAGGTATTGTATCCAGGAGGGGATCCTTGATCGAAAGGTTGGACATTTTGCTGCGGGGGTGACAGTGGAGGCTTTCCTAGAAACCACCCCTCACTCTCCAGTCCCTCACATTTCTCATCGTTCTCTTTATCGTCATTTCTTTGTTTTGTTGAGTCTCTTAATTCACTGTTTGATATTATGTCTTCCTGCTGTTTACTTGACTTGTCATTCGTCGTTCGTCGTGCGTCGTGCGTTAACATTTGAACATTTTCAGCTTCTTCTCTGAAACCACTGAACCAATTTCAACCAAATTTGGCATATAGCATCTATGGGTGAAGGGGAACAAAAATTGTGAATTTCATGGGCCCTGCCCCCATGGGGCCTGGGGGGTGGGGCAAAAACCACTAAAATTAGTGCAATCTTTAAAAATCTTCTTCTTTACTCCTGGACATCAAGCAGTCAAACTGTTTGCATGATTGTAATCAGCATTGAGTCCAAAATTGTGAAATTCATGGCCCCGGGGTCAGGGGTTCTGGTGTTAGGGTGGGGCTAAATAAGTATATAGTGAAATTTCATGAATTCTTTGAAAATCTTCTTCTCTGCTCCTGGGTATTAAATAAACTAACTAAGTGCATAGTTATGATGAGCAAGAGTGCCTCTACCAAAATTGTGTATTTTATGGCCCCAGGGTCAGGGGTTCTGGTGTAAGGGTGGGGCTCTATAGATTATATAGTGAAAATACATAAATTCTTTGAAAATCTTCTTCTCTGCTCCTGGGTATTAAATAAGCTAACTAAGTGCATAGTTATGATGAGCAAGAGTGTCTCTACCAAAATTGTGAATTTTATGGCCCCAGGGTCAGGGGTTCTGGTGTTGGGGGGGGGGGGGGGGCTCTATAAATTATATAGTGAAAATACATGAATTCTTTGAAAATCTTCTTCTCTGCTCCTGGGTATTAAATAAACTAAATAAGTGCATAGTTATGATGAGCAAGAGTGCATCTACCAAAATTGTGAATTTTATTGTCCCAGGGTCAGGGGTTCTGGTGTAAGGGGTGGGTGTGGGGGCTTAATAGATTATATAGTGAAAATACATGAATTCTTTGAAAATCTTCTTCTCTGCTCCTGGGTAATAAATAAACTAAATAAGTGCATAGTTATGATAAGCAAGAGTGCCGCTACCAAAATTGTGAATTCTATGGCCCCAGGGTCAGGGGTTCTGGTGTAAGGGGGGGGGGGGCTCTATAAATTATATAGTGAAAATACATGAATTCTTTGAAAATCTTCTTCTCTGCTCCTGGGTATTAAATAAACTAAATAAGTGCATAGTTATGATGAGCAAGAGTGTCTCTACCTTAATTTTGAATTTTATGGCCCCAGGGTCAGGGGTTCTGGTGTTAGGGGGGGGGGGGCTCTATAGATTATATAATAGTGAAAATACATGAATTCTTTGAAAATCTTCTTCTCTGCTCCTGGGTATTAAATAAGCTAACTAAGTGCATAGTTATGATGAGCAAGAGTGCCTCTACCAAAATTGTGAATTTATGGCCCCAGGGTCAGGGGTTCTGGTGTAAGGGGGTGGGGTGGGGGGCTCTATAGATTATATAGTGAAAATACATGAATTCTTTGAAAATCTTCCTCTCTGCTCCTGGGTAATAAATAAACTAAATAAGTGCATAGTTATGATGAGCAAGAGTGCCGCTACCAAAATTGTGAATTGTATGGCCCCAGGGTCAGGGGTTCTGGTGTAAGGGGGGGGGGGCTCTATAGATTATATTGTGAAAATACATAAATTCTTTGAAAATCTTCTTTTCTGCTCCTGGGTATTAAATAAGCTAACTAAGTGCATAGTTATGATGAGCAAGAGTGTCTCTACCTTAATTTTGAATTTTATGGCCCCAGGGTCAGGGGTTCTGGTGTTAGGGGGGGGGGGCTCTATAGATTATATAGTGAAAATACATGAATTCTTTGAAAATCTTCTTCTCTGCTTCTGGGTATTAAATAAACTAAATAAGTGCATAGTTATGATGAGCAAGAGTGCCTCTACCAAAATTGTGAATTTTATGGCCCCAGGATCGGGGGTTCTGGTGTAAGGGCGGGGATTTATTAATTATATAGTGAAAATACATGAATTCTTTGAAAATCTTCTTCTCTGCTCCTGGGTATTAAATAAACTAAATAAGTGCATGGTTATAATGAGCAAGAGTGCCTCTACCAAAATTGTGAATTTTATGGCCCCAGGGTCAGGGGTTCTGGTGTAGGGGGGGGGCTCTATAGATTATATAGTAAATACATGAATTCTTTGAAAATCTTCTTCTCTGCTCCTGGGTATTAAATAAACTAAATAAGTGCATGGTTATAATGAGCAAGAGTGCCTCTACCAAAATTGTGAATTTTATGGCCCCAGGGTCAGGGGTTCTGGTGTAGGGGGGGGCTCTATAGATTATATAGTGAAAATACATGAATTCTTTGAAAATCTTCTTCTCTGCTTCTGGGTATTAAATAAACTAAATAAGTGCATAGTTATGATGAGCAAGAGTGCCTCTACAAAAATTGTGAATTTTATGGCCCCAGGGTCAGGGGTTCTAGTGATAGGGTGGGGCTCTATTGGTTATACAATGAAAATACACTAAATCTTTGAAAGTTTTCTTCTCTGCTCCTTGGTATTAAGCAGATGAACTACCTATGTAGTTATGATGAGCAAGGGTCCTAATCTTCCAGAATTGTGAATTTCAAGGCCCCAGGGTCAGGGGTACCATAAAGGAGGGGGGGGGGACTGTACTTATATACTGAAACTGGATGAATTGTTTGAAATCTGCTCCTTGGTATTTATCAAATATTTTTGAAAAGCAAGGGTGCGTTTTCAAAAATTGTGCAATGTGTGGATCTAGGCCTAAGGGTCAGGGGTTCATGTGTGATTGGGGCATTACTGATCATGCTGAATATTACTGATTACTTGAAATGCATTTTTTGTTCCCGTACCCTGCCTATGGGTATTAAGTAAACAAACTAAGCAACTGCTAAGTGTATTATTATGATGATCAATGGTGCCTATTTCAAAATTGTGAATGCCATAGCATCTGGATTAAAACATGAATCAAATTCAATCACTGGAAAGTTGTTGCATAATGCTCAGGTGACCTATAAGGCCCATGGGCCTCTTGTGTTTATAATATTCTTAGTAATAAAATACAGCACACATTAGCTTGAAAAAAGAATTAAATAGCCAAGCACTGACTACTGACATGTACTTAGCTTACTGTATCAAGGAACAGTATCCTAGAGGAGAATTTGAATAAATAAAATATGTATGTTATTACAAGTACAGTTGTTCAGGTTTAATTTACTAGAGGTGATATATTGATCCGTATCTATGGCAAACCCTTCTACTAGTTATTCAGTAAATAACAATTTTTTTTCAATAATAGAGATTTGTCTCTAGCATAGAGGGATATCTCTTCAGCTTATCGAGATATCTCGTTGACTAAAAGAGATATCTTCATACCTTAGAGGGATATCTCTTTAAACAGAAAAGATATCTGGTTTACTTAAAGAGATATCTGGTTTACTTAAAGAGATATCTCGTTTATTTTAAGAGATATATCGTTTTCTAAGAAAACTATCTTTTTGTGCTAGAGAGATACTGTAAAATCACATATTTTCGATGGTCAAATTTTCGAGGTTTGAGGAAAAGATATTGGTTTGCGGTGATTTAATGTGGTTTTAAAAATGCGTATCAAGTTTTATATTTAATGATGGTCACAAATTCTTGAGTCTCTCCATGCCTCGAAAACAATGAAAATTACCCCCCCCCCCACGAAAATTAGCTATTTTACAGTATTTTTTAAAGTTAGAGAGATGTCTCCTTAAGCGAGGGAGATATCTCTTTAAGTTAGAGAGATGTTGCTTTAACAAGGTTAAAAGAGATATTTTCTTAGCTAGAGAGATATCTCTTTTACAGTCATCCTTAAAATAAAATAATTAGATGTTCTTAGACAAAAAATTAGCAAGCATTACTTTGGTGTTTTGAAAGATATCAGTTCATGAAAATTCTTGGATATTTCAATGAAAATTATATAAAACTAACTAAGTATGCATTCTACATGTTTGTTTTACCGAAGCTTGGTTTAGAATAAGTTTACAACACCGTATATAGACATTTAAATAAAGCACTTAGTTCCTTAAAGTATTGGAACTCTTGAACTCCATGGAGAGAGACAAAAAAGTTCCAACTACGTTGTATATTTTAGTCCTTAAAAAAACGAAACTGGAAGTATAGTCTCTGGAATAATTTCGCTGTTATAAAAAAAGGACTGAACATACAATATCAAAGATAATATGTGTACTATATGTAGACAAAATGTTTTAAAACCCTTGTTTAAAACAACAAATAATAATGGCAGCTTCGTTGATAAAAATGCTAAAAGTTTAATATTGAGGAAAACTAAGGTACAAGTAGAACTTTTTTAAAAAGCTTCCCGTCTTTACCAACAATCTTAAACTGTAATCTGATCTACACCTATCAGGCCGTATAATTCTTTTGAATTTCTTGATTTTGTATTTTTCTACATTAGCTTTTTACTGGCATTAGCCCTACCACGGTTGTCGCTCGGTCATCTCCGTAAACTTTGACTCGCCGAGAGCTTTCGGCAAACCTCGGCTGATTCCATTTCCTTCTTCAAACAAGAAAGGGGAAAAGAACAATAACAAATTGTAAAGCCTGCAAGCAATAAAAATCAAATTTTATTTATAATGAAGTTAAAGAGATCTTTTTTATTTTTTGCTATACAAAAAATCATGTTATCAGGAATTAATTACTGCTGATTTTGTTGTTCGTTTTGTCATTTTTTTTTAAGATTGAAAATCTTGCAAAATTGTTAAGTCGTACGAAAATTAGATCATCAGAAAGTTATCTCCCTTGCCTTGAACAGCATTTCAACCAATGAAATAATTGAAAATTTTCTCATCATGCATTTTCTACCAATCACAAAAGAGAGGAAGTGCATAGTCCGAAGACTGTAAAATACTTCAACTATACAATACCGTCTTCCAAGGAAGACGGTAATAAACTTAAAATCTCAAATGCAATGTAGAATATCATGAATATGATATGTCGAAATTTAAAAATACTTTAATGTACTTCCGTGAATAGAAAGCTTTGAGAGATATCTCTTAAAGTTAACTAAA